TTGCTGCTGGCAATTCTGTTTCAAACGGAAAGTTATAAAAACGTTGTTCGTAGATTTTCAAAATCTGAAACCACTTAACTTACGAGCAGAGGCGCTCAGTCGAACGCCGTATTCTCTATTCGCTTCGATTCTGTCCTGCGTTTATGCGAATTTTCTAGAGTAATCCTTGTTCAGCAGTCACACAATTAATAGCAATTTTTAATAAAAAAAAAATCTCATTTACGTAGGTGTAAATGATTAACGAGCGTGGAACGTACAGCGAAATTCAATAACTGGACATTTTCCCGCCGGGTGTCCCGCAACGCTTGCCGAGCTCAGCGCCAGTAATTTCTTGCAACCCGTCATCAGCAAATAGCCTTTTTTAATTAATTTTTGCCTTCTCGAAGTACTTTTATTATGGAGGCTTCACCACAGTTCCATCTGACAATGTTGTTAGTATTTCTACTGCATAACACCGTAGCAGTGCATGTCTACATATTGCTGTTGTCTACTTCTGGTTACCCTTTGTATAAAACAGTTTTATCGATTTATTTAGTCACGGCTCACATGGATAATGGGAAAGCATAAGTCGTAGAAATAACCCAAAAAAGTCAATTTTCAATCCTGGCATTTGAAGCAATATTTTTCGAAAAGTTTGATTGACTAGAGAAGTGCTCTAAATCTTGACAAGTTCAATAAACGTTCCGGAACTGTCCCATCATTGTATGGACGGAGAATCATATAAATCTGTAAGAAGGTTTGAGATGGATCACTGCTAAGTACCGTATTTTGTTTACTATAACCCTTCTTCATTAGGCATCTAATGAAGATTCTAAAAGCTAGTACAGTTTAAACTGCTAGTACGCAAAAAATGTAAAAGTGCCGGTCGCGTAATACTGGATTGTTTCAGTTAATTTCTTTTTCCTGTAGTACCCTCTCAAAGCTTACCGTCATTTTGAGATTTCCAGCACGGCGCGGAGCCAGCTGGTAAACCAACTTATTATACCCGTTAATATTGGAGGCCTCACCAGACTTGAATCACGGCTCCAATGCAGACTGTTTCGACCGATTTACCATTACAATAGCCCGTTATACCATGCATACGGTGCAATTTATTTGTTTTGCCTTGTGCTGTTTGACTAGCTCCCAACCATTTCGAGTGACGCCTAGAACTGGGTTAGATACGTATCAGGACTTTTTAAGCATTAATACCAGAAGCTTTAAATTTTTTTTTAAAAACGACAATTTTCGGCCAGCTGGATAAACTGTAAAATCTTTCACTATATAGAATGCGAAACTTAAATCCGGACTTTTGTTCACAAGTTGTCCCTAAGAAAGGTAACTATCAAAAACACAAGACTGTATCTGCTAAAAGTACCGCTTCAGACGGTAGTGCCTATTCAATGTGACTTCAATTATGGCTTCGACTAAGGACCTAAATCACGGATTTGTCATTTTCCTTCTCTAATTTTCAAGCAGCTTTTTAATTGTGGCCATGCGTCAAATCATACTCGTAGGCGTAGGTTTGCTAAGCGTCGGTCACATACGTTGCATATAAAAAAAAAAAAAGGTATAGTGAAATTTTTGGCTGATAAAAGATCATACGTTTCAAACGTACAAAGATTTAGAAAAGCTAAATAATCTCAAAGAACTAAGCTTTAGAATCTACCTGAACGATCTAATTAACAGTCGATACATTCCTTTTAAAAAGACCCACCAATTTTTATAGAAATATTCCAAAATTATGAAAAATAGCACTCTTCACCATTCCGATGAATTTTCCGACCTTCTTCTGATTTTCGCTAGCCAGAGGACTTTAAAAACACTGTCGATCTGAGACAAACAACAAAAAAAAGATCGTTTTACGAGAAAAGATGGAATAATGGCTGATCTTCATTTAAATTCTTATAGAGTTTACGATCACCTTAGAACAAACTTGTCATTGTCTGACACTCGTCCTGGATAAAGGCGTTTCTAGCGACCAATCGAAAAGTCCGTATTTAAGCCTATTAGTGTTTGTTTTTTTACGAGTCGCAAGTAGTCCTGTCATGGGTAAAAATAAAAAAACAAAGGCAAAAATCTCGTGATATGACTGACTTACTAGTGCAAGGAAATTGAAGCTACGGATTCTCTGCTGAATTAATATAAACATCTGCACAATTGCTTCATGTTTACCTGAAATAACAGTGATAACAATAGGTGAGAGATGAGAAAACGGACAAAAATGAGATTCCATTGAATGACTTTTAGTATAAAGGGTGCCAATGAGATCGAATCAACCCCTTCCACAGCAGCCGAAGTGAACTAATTCGATAATAACTCAACGGAACAATATTACTTGCCACCGATTGTAGCAATCGAGTACCAGCAAACGCGAGGCCCACTGCGAGGTATTCTCCAGGCTGAAAAGTAACAATGGAAAATGTCATTATACTACGCCATGGTGTGAGTACACAGACGGTTCCAACTACTAACCCTTATTATATAGTACGCGTCAATTGATTTATTTCAATTTCTAAAGAAGCACCAGAAATAGCTCTACAAACGTAATTAAAGTAGCAGTGAACTGTTGAAAATGATTTGTCTCACGTTCAAGAGTATATATATATATATATATATATATGGCAAAATGTTGTCGTACAACAAAAACTTTTGTTTCTGAAAAGGATATGACGAACCTGTAACGCCTCCACTGCATCTTTCTAAATCTCATCTGTTCTAACAAAGGTATCGTTGACATGTCTATCTGTCTTGTGCTTATTTCGTTTTCTAGAGAGCTATCTTCGTTTTCTATGATATAGCACATGATTTAGTCACCTGGCCATTTTTTTCTCATTGAGGAAATATTTTTCTTCTAGAAACATTCTTAGGTGATCCTTTTTACTTGACTAAATATCCATTCTTTTTGTTACTATTTCAAGAACTGTGTCATTTCCAGTGGAAAGAGCAAATGCGTTTTCAGATAGGCACAAAAGCGGGACGCATTGTCTGTAAAAAAAAAAAATGATTTTTTAGTTAACCACTCCAGCTACAATGACAAGGCAGCGATTTAGTTCTTCAAGCTAGATAGTTTATAGGATAAGCGACAATACTATCATTATTTCTCTAACAAGCGAGCTTCGTTCCTACCTAGATTCTTATTTCTTAAAACTATATTTAGAATGGGCGTCCAAAATCAATTCGGATATACCTTATTCAATAGAAATATCTGCGAAATGTATCTAACGTTTTTTAAATTGACAAAAAAATCGTTTAGTTATTAATTTTGTTAACAAAACACGGCCGAACGCTCCTGCGCTTTTGTTTGTCTATGCTATTTTCGTATCTCATGTATGACGAAAGACTTGAACTTGAAAAACACGCTTTGAAGGACCTAACTATATTTGACGGTATAAGTATTTTAACAATATGTGTCGCTTGCCCTCGTCCTTATCCTACCTATATGGTCTACCATTTCGAGAACCTAATTCTGCTTTAAGGTACCGCTTCCACCGAATTTGCTCATACCAGAGGTTACGTTAAACTAACTCCATCCTCTTACGCACGCAAGGATGAATAGAAAATGAAAACACATATTTATTACGTTCTTTTTTTTTGTTTATTGACACGCACAGCTTTTTCTGGCAATACCCGCCCGCTACACGAGCATAAGTTGTGCGACATGTCTAGAAATTTTAATACAAATGGTCATCGTCATCGTCATCACTGCTATTAGCATTGCATGGCAATATACAGAACTTCAATTTTATCGCTTTCGCGCGCCCTTTTTGTATTTCTCTATTTCTGCTTGATTTCCTTTATTGTCGCGTTTTTCTCCTGGTTTGCCCTTATAACCAACGATGACGCGTGGCCTTACGGACAATCTACCGGCTGTAACCTTATATAATTTGTATCATCACCTGATATTCTGCCTGTCTGTTTGTGTGTCGGTGCGCCGTGGTCCTGTTACGACGTTCAGCGTTTGTCCCGCTGCGTTGTCTCGACTACTTCTGCACGTGTCTGTTCAAACTCTCCTAATTTGTATTTTCAGCTTCCCGCTCTTCTTGTCCAGACTTTTCCTTCTCTATCGCGAACGAATGATCGCTGCCATTACTATCGCCAGCGTAATTTCATTATCATCAATGTAATTGCCGTATTCATTTATTCGTCTATATTTCTCCTTATTATTCTGACGATCATCTCGCGTCATTGCTGTCACCGGTCCATACTCATTGTTGTCACAGCATCAGTGGTTTGTATCCATTGGTTATTTTAATTATTATTATTACTGGAACCATCATTATTATGGGTAATATTTATCATCAGCACGTGAGTTTTACTTATTTCCCTCTCGCTCCCGCTCTCGCTCTCGTTCTCTCTCGCTCTCTCTCTCAGTCTTTTCTCGCTAAAGCTTTCATTCTGATTATATATATAAGTTCTCACTCTCTTGCTCTGTGTGTGTGTGTTTGTGTGTGTGTGTGTGTTTGTGTGTGGGTGTGTGATTGTGTGTGTGTGTGTGTGTGTGTGTGTGTGTGTACGTGCACGTGCACGTGCACGTATGCGTATCTGGTGCATCGTGTTCACTTTATGTAGCTATCTTCCCTGTCTGATCTGTGTACCGTACGACATTAGTGGACTTCTGTCTCTATCTATGTACTCCATTATGTCAAAATATTTTACTAAGCGTGTTTATCTAGTATGCTGTTTAGACAAATGAAAATTGTCAAATACTTTAGTTTGTATTATCGTTAGAATATCATCAACGGCAACGGTGCGGCTGTGATTCCTGCACGCCTGAACAAAATCGATGTACATGTTTCATGGTTCATGTATCATGTAATACAGTCTTTTGCTTGTCGTAAATATCTATTTGTTTTCCTGTTAGTTCTACACTCAGCTCATTATTATTAGGGTCAGTAAATCGACCTGTCATGGATTCTGTCTGTAAGGTTTTTCCTCGATTTTTCACTATTGTAATATGCATTGAAAGGCATATTACAATGGTGGGTATTGGTTCTCTTACGCATTCTGTTCTATGCATGTTGATCGCTGGTACTCCGCCGTTATCCACTACGTCCAGATAGTATCCATGTATTAAAGTATAGGCGTCTCTAGCGAGACGTCCGACATTCGCAGGTTTTCTTAAATTACGTTACCTTACGTTTCTTATATCTATATAATATTTAGCTGACTTATGTTATATATCCAACAGGTACAGCTGACATCTTGATAACATGGCTATTCGCTAAGGCATTGTTGGAACAATATGACCGGTGCGGTTATCGAGTTTGACACATAAATAACGTTTATATTACAAAAGGCCCAGTTAGCTGTTTAATTGGAGAATGAAACAGGATCCGGGCAAAAGGGCAAAATGTGGTCTTATTCGCTACGACACCGGACATGAAGTTCTATGGAGGGGAACTCACAAAGTCCTATCGACGTCGTTGGCCGGTTAGTCGACTGGCTTTTCACAATTTATGAAATCGTGGCCTGTGAAGTGAATCCGTTTTCTATTAACACAAGCATAAAACCATAACAAAAAAACCAACAGATACTTAAATACATAGCTGTATTGTTTCGCCTTTGCAGGCGTGAATTTCCTACATTTACAGTCAATCACGTTCTATTTTTATCTTCAGTCATTTATCTACTTCTTATTATACGACCGGTACCTCGTCGTAACTCGTGGTGAGCTTCTGCTGTTAACAATCAGTCATTGCCTACCCATCAATTGCCAACAGCCACCCGAGCCTACTATCCCAATCGATTGGAAAAAATTTTCTCGTCTCTTTCTTATCCTGCCGCTAACTGGGCATTACTGCGCCTGAGATAATTAATGCCCCAAAGAAGATGGTCACGCACTGTTCTTCATCTAATCTGCCTGGCAGTCGAAGAAGTCACTTTTTTGGCTGTCATCTAGTGTCTATATGTAAAGTCGACGGTGAACTCGATTAAGCTAGATCAGGTCAAATCGAAAATATCAAGCTAACAGAAAGAAACCTTTCCCAATCCAATTTCGCTCACACACGACCGCCCGTCCACCCGCCATTCAACCGCCAACGGCCCGTGATTTGACATTTTACACTGAAACAAAAATAAATCATACGTTGTCGCCATCTGATTAACATTTCTAATAGAATTATTCCCACTACCGTTTATATTATCTTGTTACTGTTTTCGTAGGATCTTCAACACCATGATCCAGTGCTTTCTGTTTTTCTTCTTTTTCCCTTTTCATATCCATGTTTTTTGCCCGCTTTTAGCTGCTCTCTATGCTCATTCCTTTCGCTTTTCATGTATGAACAATGACGTCCAGGGGGTGGGCCCAGGGGCTGCACCCACTTTGTACAGAGTATTATACACCTAGCAGGCACCTGGTTACTAGGCGAAGGTATAGCCTGAGCATCGTAACGTTTTTTCTTTCTATTTGTTCTGCCCTCTCTCTTCCACTCGGCTTTTCTTGTTCTTATCACGAATTGACTGGTATTGCCGCCATTACGGGGCCCGGCGTAGAATCATCTTTGCATTAGAGAGAAGTACCGAACGATAAATAGCTCATTATCATTCTGTCGTTTTTGTCCGCCTTCGCCTGGTCGTTTTAGGAGGTGGCCTGGATGATTGAATATGATGAATTGGGTGTGAATCTGGTGACGAAGGAATGACTCTAAATGTTCAGTCGGTATCAATCAATCAGCCCAGTACTATAGTGTTATCCACAGTTAAGTCCAATAGTGAATGATCGTTCTAGTTATTGAAATGTTTATATAGAAACCAGCCCAACTGAATCCATAAATTAATTTAGCTTGTTGTTTACTCATAGTGATCTATTTCCCCTTCGGCCGGCACCCGATAAATGTAAAAAAAGATCAGTAAAATCTTGCGGATACAGATCTACCTGAATGACGCGCCTCAGTGTGTACATGTTGACACGTGAGCGTGGGCATACGTGTGTGCATATTTTTAGTATGCATCGAGCTTTCAACACTGATCACAAATAACCATTAATCACAGGATTAGAAGTGTCAGTGTCGATTTATATATCTAACATGAATTTATTTAAAATTTTCGTGTATCCATGGGTGAAGGGATCCAATGTATGGCAACCAATTTGCTCGGGCTTTCACCATGCTGGAAGCTGAATTTTTTCCGCAGCCCCTTTATGTACCTTTGCTGCTATTGCGTTTAAGCCAAAAGTGCTCTTATATAAGGAAAAGTAGGTGGAAATAAAGAAAGTTTGTTTCAAGTTTGCAAGGATAATACATGGTACACATATACAAAGAGTATGCTATTGCATCAAAAACTGTTGCTTGCTATATATAATATATATATAGCAACTTCTTCTCGCGTGATTCCCATTTGGTTTCGGCTAATCGTTATACTTTTATATATTATTTACCTGTAAATTTCCACTTTTTGTCTGTTTTTGCGTATTACTGACTGGTCTGTTTGTAATCGTTACTATATATATATTATCAATTGGTGAATTGGAAAAGGGGCACTTTATAGACCATTAATGGGGAAATGAACGATTGGTGAGGGTTGGTTTGTGTCCCGCCCCCGCGCGGAGGAGGCAGGACTGTCAGATATCAACAACAATTATTAGCCTAGCTTATAATTATCAGTATATATGTACTAGTAACAATAATCATTTTAACTCTGATTATCCTCTATTATATAATATTATTACATTGCACTGTAATTGTCGTCATAATTATAATTGTAGTTATTCATAGTATTACTACCAGTGTCATTTAATCGTAGTTACCGCCAGCACTCGCGTCGTACTCTTACAGAGGGACTCTGGTCGATGAAGGGAGAGATCGTAAATGCCAACGTTGCAAGAATAACGCTGCCGATCGGGGGTTCGTTCGGCTCGTCGATTATAATTACGTTGAAATCATCGAGGCCAGTTATTATATGTTTTCAGCAATTCTTTACGTATCTGCGTTACTCTGTTCGCTGGCACTTTCTAATTGCATTAGCCAAAAACATTCTCATTTCATATGCCGTCTTAACATTCTAACTTGTATCAAGTTCGCGTGAAATTATTACTCTTCCATTTCGTTGGTATTATGGGAGTCTGCAAACAGGAGTGCGTCCAAGGGAGGAGCATGCGCGAGTTTGTTGTCCTTGTTTAGCTAGTTCTTTTTAGACGAACCGTCTTATCACCGTTTCGTTGTAGTTGTACGTCCGGTAGTACAAATGTGTTGATACTCATCGTAGATATTTGTCGCATACAATTGGATTAATCTGCCATTCCCTGATCCAAGCAGCTGCCGCAGGCAACAAATCGTCGGACCTTGTATTATTATTGCGATTACCATTCTGAGACTGTTGCTTATAACGCTTCCGGCCAGATCGTCGTAGCCGGTCTGCGGTTCGAAAAGTCCCGCTCGAATCGCTTTCTTTCTTTTCTCCTAGCAGTACACCCCGCGCAGTTTCCCACGTTTTCGTAAACAGGGGGTGAAACTGTTTTATAAAATCTGTCTTTTGCTAATCAAGCTGCACCATCTGCACACTTTAGCTTCATATTATCTAATATAAGCTCTACGTATCGGTTATGTTTGTCGTCCGCACCTAATATTGTCATTGGTGTTGATTAAACCCGTTATCATTTTCTCGCGTACCTCATTTGTTTTTGCATAATGCTAGCCAAACAATCGGTTCAATAACTAAATAAATATATATATGTGTGTATATATATATATATATATATATATATATATGTATATATATATATGTAAAGGAAAAATAAATAATAAACAAAAGCAATGAGCAATCGAACAGTCTTTGGCTTACGCTTCGTTATGACCATTATAATTGGCTCGCTTTCGCACAGACTTGTAGCAACATGAGACTACTTACCACGAAAGGGGTAGTCCCAAACGAGACATCACGATTCGTTAGTTCATCTTTTTCCTTCGATTTTATTCCTTTGATTGCTAACCGGTTCCTTTGTAATGTCACTGAGTTCCCTTTCATCTTCTTCATTGTATCTATAGACCATATGCCCTTTAATTAGCGCCTTCTTTTTCATCCATGTATGCCTTCTTACCGGACCGTGAGTCACTCAACAAAGTAAGTAGTACGTTTTTGACGTACGCCCCATCAGTTATTTTGATCCCTTTATTTCCATCTAGTTCGCCCCCATTCGCTGTTTCGCGTGGCGGTGCCCTCGTCACTATTATAGCCATTGCATCATCACGGATTATTTATTCACTGTCAGCCAATCTTTGCTTTCTATTTTTTCCTTGTTCCCCTGTACTGACGAAACATTCGCGCACAGCATCAGCTCTCCGCAGCTGATTATTTCGTCGGCCTCACAAGAAGTACAAATCTCATGTGCGACTCTTGAATGGATTCATTTCAGTGGCATCTCATGCGGTCACCAGCTTGACCTAAACCTGCAAGGCTAGGCCAACGGTCGACGGTGCGAAACAAGCAGTCTCGGCGTACATAGTACGTTGATTCAACAGCCATCGTTTTCGCCTTGTACCTAAACTAGCCCAGTGTACTTCTCTCCGTTTTCGAGTCCGTTCTTTGTGTTTTGTTTAGGCTCTTGTTGCTTATATATTTGTCTTTATTGTACGGTTTGGGAAAGAATAATATTAGATCAAAGGCCTGAGGCTTTTCGAATCGCCGCCGTAAGTATTGTACTATTGTTATTATCGTTACTATTGTTATTACTATATCATCTTTATTTCGCATTACTAATCATAATATTATTATTATTATCAGTGTTATTAGACCGCTTCTATCTCTTCCTATGAATTTTCATCCATTTCTCCATGTTATTATTATAACATATAATTATTATCCTTATGCACTCTTTTCGGCAGTTTCCTTGCGCATGTCTTTCCTTGATATTATAATTACGTTACATTATTACTGTTATTATCCTCGTTGTCAGCATTGTTGGGCACTCGAATTATTATTATCAAGTTATTACGACCTCTTATCATTAGTTCTTGTTACGAATATTATTATCATTATAAGTAGTATCTTTAATTATTGCTAGTAGACTGCCTGACAGGTTCGATATTTCAGTCCGAACAAAAGCTGTTTTGCGTGTCGTTTCTTTGTCATTCTGGCGCCGTACCCCTTCTATTCTTTTCAATTTGCCTTAGGTTTTGCTGTTCTATTGTCACTATTAGTAGTAGCTGATATCCCGACAAATGTAGGTTTATTTGGAACGTCAAGATAAGACGCGACACTTGCCCATCAGCGTTGCAACGCAGTCAGGTCTTGGGCTTTGATACCTATTTTCCACACGATTCCCTTGACCGCCGGCCATTTCTCGTGGATGATTTTCCTGCATCCCTTTCCCCAGTCTCGTTACGAGCCTGCGGTCTCGTATTGACTCCTGTAGCAGGCTGTTCGACACTTTGTTTCCTCCCTCCCTTAAACGTACACTGCACCAGCGTCATGTCGTTTCAGCTTGCAGCGTAGCCACCTTGCATATGTCTCCCCTTTACCTTAGCACGACCAATTCCTTTCTTACATCCCGTTTCCCCTCCATTGACCATATTTTTCGGCTTGAACGAACGCTTGCTTTGCGTTCCCATCCTTGTTCCTGTTTGGTTCCTCGTCTTTGGTCGTCCTTTGTTTGATCCGCTAATCGTGTCGAACTCGATAATGTAATCCTGGTCTCGGTCACCGGTAAGAACCTTTGTTAATTTAGTACTGACAACAATATTATCATGTGTGTTTGCATTGGCATTGCCTCGACCTTAGTAAACGCGAGATGATGATCCTTACTATTATCAACTATTACCATTGTTATCAGTATTGTTCTGGTTAAATCCAAATGTATTTCCTACACTGTCGCTATACAACGTTTGCAATTACATTATCATCGCTGTCGTCACCACTACCATCACCATTATATTAGCAATTAGCATGTTTTTTTATTGTTGTTGTTATTATTAATGTTATTTTTCGTCTCCTTGTCGCATCAGTTCTATCATTAGAATTGTTCTTATGGTCATCGCGAGTTTATTGACGACGTATCCGTGGGCGTGATTAGGTTTCTTCTAATTATTCTTCCGTTAGGTCGTTTTGACGGCCTTTTTTATGGCGCTACTCTGCACCGGCCGATCCATCCGACCGCTGAATTTGATTCCGTCGTCAATTGCTCTTAGCTTTGCTGTTGCCGCTTCTTCAGCTTCTCTCTTTCGACTTCTGTTTCTTTCCTTTCTTCTATCTTTTCTCGGGTGAGCCATTTATCATCATTACCGTTGCAAGCATCGTCTTCATTCTCTTCCCCTTTAAGGATCATTTCTACAGGACGGTTCGTCACACTTTACTTTCACAAATCTTATCTGAAACAAAAGGAGCCCTTAGTTAGTAGTGCCATCAAACAGCAAACAGACATCAACGAAAGGGTGTGGAAAACGACGGATAGGAAGTCGATAGTGATAAGCCGTCCTTCTTACCTAATCGGAATCCAAGCTTGTCGTATGCGACTGAAGGTGGCTTGGCATCATATATATATATATACGTATGTATAGGTTTATATATAGCTTCCTTTGCTCACATAAATTGGGTAGCATGCGTCGTTGACACAACAGTTAATATATGAAATAGCTATATATATATATATAAGCTTATTTTATATGATCGTTCTTCATTATCTAATGTAACCTACAGCCTAATCGATTCATACATGAGTACATATGGCTAATACTGGGTTAGATGTATATAATCTGAATCGAAGAGATTTCAGGCCTTATATATATATATATGATATAATGCGTTTAGTATAGGAGCCCTAACGGAAGCGTATTCTACCGAAAATGAAGTAACGATATCATTACCGATGAGGCAGGACCACCTACGTACGACCCGACAACAGTGTCTGCGCACCGAAAGTACTGTCTACGACACCATAGGTTGCCTTGGTTAGTTTAAACACATGGAACACGTAATTGTTAGTCGCCGTGCGACTTTTGAGAAATAGGGCCTCAGAAATTAACAACACAAGATACCGAGAGACAATATTTTATGATTCCACAGCCCATGGGCTGAAACTAATTACTGCCTTTGAAAATGATACCGTCCGTCCTATAGACCCGTTTTCCTACAACGTTTGAAATTTCTAGACCTTTTAAAAAATTCATTCGCTTAGCCTGACTCGACGTTTGATGCCTTAGGCCTTCAATCGCATAAATCGAAGTGCTAAACATCTTCATATCAGACGCACCTAGACGAGATCCCGACGGGCCTAGACAACCAAATGTCGCTCACACCCGAAGATTACCAAACGTCGTTTGCAGATTAGAGAGGAAATTTTTCCTTGCAAGCGGCTTCGGAAACAAATCGAAGACAAATATATTAAGTATAATGCTGTTCCGTAAAATCAAAATATTTTTAAACAGAGTTGTAGTTTTTTAGCATAATTGCTAGTTATGCAAAATGGTGACATATTTCCCCGTTCATCTGGCACATTTTCCGTGGCATGACAGCCCGTTTTTAGAAATAGTAATATATATATATATATAGTTGTGAATCAAGCTGCCATACGTTTCAGCTTTGACAATACGAATCATTACCTAAGTCATTATCTAAACCCTATTTACTTAGAGAGAATACTTAAAGCTTCAGTAGTCCCATAGCTTCCGGTAGAGATATTCTGTGTCGTATTTACGCATGCGCTTGAAAACTTTGTCTCGTCCAATTATAGATAAAATTATAAACGTCATTGTATCAATAAAGAGCTTTTAATAAGTGCTTTCATTTCAAGCTTCTATATTTTATGTGCGTCCGCGCCTGATCCGTGAGCATAGGAAGTTCTACCAAATTAGACAGTCAAGTAGCCACCAGCGCAACGACAAATCGTTTTGATGCGCTTTGGCTTATCAGAAAATTTGTCTGATTACGCCAATGCTTAGGCAGCTCTGCAGGAATGATTGCATTAGCAAGGACGACCTGTACAGCATAAAGTTACCCATGAAAAGTTCTCACTGGAAATGACTCTCTGCTCCCCTAGAAAGTCATTCACAACGTTCCATGTTCTATGCGAGATTTTTCGTCTAACAGACTATTCCGTAGTCAGCTTTTGTTTAGTATATACATTTTAGCTGGACTGTAATTGTCAGCCATAGGAGAAACGTCCCACAGAGGCTAGGATAGGCTGGAGCTATGCTCATTATAAGAATTTAGGCAGCTTTACCTAGAATTCGTAGAACTGCCCGTGCAAATTAGGCCATTTGCGTTGCGGCGTATAGCTGATGTATACAAACAAGTATGCCATTTAAGCCCAAAAGATGATTTCTAACGTTGATATTTTCTCGCTTTTGATATACGCTTACCCATTGCATAAACTAATGCACTAGGGTCATACAAGAACACTAGACATTGAGGAAATGGTGATGTGAATTATATTTGGCCACAATGGCTGTCTTTCAAAGATTCCTAACGTCGATTTATATTTAAGTAGATAAAAAAAAAAAACACATTCTCTCGTATGCGCTCTGCCGTTGTAACACTTGTCACGCTGATGATACTTGACTAAGAAAAAAATGCAAACATTTTCGAAAACAAAATATTACACTGGGTAGAGCGTCTCAATCGAAACCTTTGCTTCAGTCCAGACTCAGAGTCTACCGCATCTAGCAACATCTCAGAGGAAACGGATGTCTAAGGGATTAGCGACAAGTTGAGTTCAGTGGAATTCTAGCTCGTGTACCTCTGAAAGCGTTCCAAGAAGCCCTTCTGAGGATTCTTCAATGGTTACTCTTCAATGGCAGAGTGTTACTCGACAAGGCCAGAATGATCTCGTTATACGAAAGCCAGTACATACTTGGGAAGTGCCGCCCAATGCGGTCGTCTGCTGACTCAGATACGCTCATAAGTCGTTTTGTCTGCGTGTTGTATAGATTGCTATGCCTATTTACCCAGAACAGCCAGAGGCAGCGAAGTTCGGAGCGTGACTTGGGTACTCCTTGTCGCTTTCCGAATGCATCTAGATCACGCGCTCGCCGAAGGAAGCAATTGAACTTGTTTCAATGATAGGCATACATTTATGTGTCGTGTCCAGCAGCCTCAAATATGGTTTTATCTTTAATAATCAAGCTATATTAATAGTGACCTTAGTGTGAATTAGACACAGCTGTTTTCTATGGAAGTCCTGTAAAAGGTGTGCGTCCATTTGTTTCTTTGGTTAGGTGATGACGAGGTGCTGTGTAGTCGGTATTATCAGATTTAAACAGGCGAGCTCAACTTGAATTGGGCAGTCAAACGGACTGATTTTCGGCGTACTTCAATGAGTTATTAGTAATATATTGCGCTTTTCAGTTATACTGTGATGCCCCAAAGCACTAGCCTGAGTACAAGGCGATTATAGTTTGTGCCCCGTAGATTCGTTTTCGCCAGACCAGTCTTGAACAGATTTGATTGTATATCTAAACTATCGACTGTATGGACGTCTATAAAAGAAGTTTTGCGGCAAACTGGCAACGATCTACCAGCCGTTGATGACTTTCCGTTCTGTTCGGTACGTGGTCATTTCAAAAATGAATTCTGTTGGATGCATCAATGAAATTAATTTCGTTCTTCGCGAACACTCTAACTGAATATGCACACAATGCTTAGGGAAAGGTTTGAACAGCTACCTTATTTGCATAACGCATATTGTCACGATCGATGTTAATTTCCTAAAACTAAATACAGGAGAGGATGCTGTTACTATAAATGGAATGTTAAGTCTGCTCTCGGTGTTTTTTCTTCGAGTACGAAGTAAAGGAATTGTTCATATCAAATTTGGATGCAGTAGGTCGCGATTTGCTTCCTTAACCACCAATGGTTCTCAAATGAATATGTCAAACAAGGCGGGTTTCGTGCCAATAGCAGATCAACTAGGATCAATAGAGGCTTAAATAGATTCTCTATTTATGTTAAATACGCATGAAAATACAATGCAATCGATTTAAGAAATGGCACTAGCAGTAGCCAGCAGTGATATACAGACATTAGTGCCGAACTTGCCTTTTGACCTTTCGTCAACACTTGTTGGTACCGAGCACTCGCTGCTACATGTACATATATATATCTGTGTCGCATAGAGGACCGAATTAGCCTTTCTTTCATTCATTACTAGTAACGGCTTTGTAACTATGCGTATTGCCTCGCTGGGGCGTGTAAGGTACTAAGCTTGCACAGAGTTGCAATTGATAATCAAGTACAGCTTTCTAAGGCGCGTCGTCAGCCTTGGTCGCTTCGGCGGAGTTTTTTCGAAATATGGCAACAAGTTTTTCGAAATTATTCATATTCTAAAATAGCAATATCGATCGTAAAGATCTTTGATATAAAGATCCGAAATACTTCTGCTCTTGTCTACACAGATAACATGGAAATTATTTGTACCATGTTTTTGTCTACGTAACGAATTATCAAATAATTCAAATGCTTCAGTGATTCAAATCAGATCAAGCTGAATCTGCACACCATCCACATTCAAAGCTTTACCGACACAGTAACTTGTAATCACATTTAATTATAGGTTTCATACCGGAATCATTATAGGGGAAAAGTGTTTAGTTCGGAACTGTGATTTTTGTACAGATTATTCAAGTATAGCCCTGCTAAATATGGATCATGTACATAAATAGCAGTGTGGTTAGATAGGCAACGGCATCGCGGGTCTATAATTGAGTCAATATATTTGGTGTAAGAGCGTGGCCTGATTAAGCTCCGTTAGCTTTATTTCGTTATTAAGTTACACCTATCGTGTAGGGTTTATCATCGACGGGGCTGGATTATGAGGTGTAGTTAAATTTTAAATATCCTTTACGTTTGTCTACATACGGCTTAACCGATTGAGTCATCGAGAAACAGCATGAAATTTGTCCCCAATGTGTGTAAGAACTACTACAACTTGCTTTAATACATTACCTACTATTGAACTACGACAAATGCTAACTGATCGTTGTTATTGCTGTTGCTACTTTTGTTTATAACTCGATGAAGGGGCCATTGTTACGTATTTTTTTCAAATTAAGTAACTCTGACCACTTATGCTTTTGCTCTAACAGTTACTTTGGACGACGCGTACCTTTCTAATGTCTAGCCTCTGTGTTTCAAATTTTACGCCTGTATCGCCGTTAGGCATTCTATCAGACGGCTAGCTGCCTCTCAGCACGAAACGAAGTCTGTATATGTCCGGCTTTGAACCCAGATTATGTTTAGCCTGCAGCGACCCTACGTCCCTTCTGATCTTCACTGCCGAAGTCTGACGGCGTATTCACTGACGCTGCTGGCCATTTGCCACGCAACAACAGGTCTCATCGTACTTGTAGTCTTGACGTCTTGCTTTAAACGGCGT